AATGTGCATTGATTTTGATCGGTGAATCGTTCCTTTTTCAGGAAGTAATTGGATTGTAATTGACGAGCGTGAGAACTGGGTTGCATGAGTTTAATTTGGCCTCAAGAAGATCCGAAGAAGCCGCATTTCTCTCTTCAGATTCGGGTTTGGCTAATTTGAAAATTGTTGCAGCGGCAAGAAGATATCAAGCCGTGCAATGGCTTCAATCCGTAATGGTTTGGTGCTTGTGGTGGGACACCAAAGGGACGGTAAGAGCGCCAAATTCTGGTGTAATTTGGATTTAGGCATATATTGAAGCCGAGAACAAGATTTCTTGGATTTAGGCATATATTGAGGTTAGAGCAGGAGCCATGCCCATTCTCTGCAAAGGAGATCAATATAAGTATTGTCCCAACCTAACCATCATTGATTGATACGCCTGGACTGGAAAACCGAGCACTTCAGGTTGTTTTTCTCTGCTGTCCCGACAAATTTCCGTGGCTGATTTAATGTTTTTTGGTTTTACTTGTTCTTTTTCTTTAGGTTCAAGCACGGGCTGTGGAAGCTCTAGTTCGAGCAAATATGCAACACACAGAGTTCATCATTTTATGCCTCGAAGATAGCAGTGATTGGAGCATTGCAACTACTCCAAGGACAGTCAGAAAGCTGGATACAGTTAGCAAGGAACTTAGGTTACATTTTTTGTTTCGTCTGAAAATATCTAGTTGGTTTTATGCAATGCACTTATTCTCTTCTGATTTGAGAAACTCTAACTCTTTTGTGGTCCAATTTTCTTTCCTTGCAGCTCTCTTTAGATGAAGCAAAACTCAAAGTGAGAGGCAGGACTTTCCATGATCTATTCTTAACCAACCTTTCTGACTGATACTTATGCCTTCACATATTGTTAAAAACTCATTAAAGTTGCAGCAAAAATTCCCCTTTCGTTTATTGACACAAAAAACCATATATGCAACAGGAGATGATATCTAGGACCTGCCACTGGTTTAGAATCACTGGAAGTTTCGTCGTGTTGGATGCCCTTAAGACTTTAAACTTGCTCTACATATTTTCAATTGACATACGAAGTACCTTTGTTAGTGACTTAGTTTTCATCAGTTTCTCACCTGTTTTTGTTTTATTTTCTTGACCCGTTATCTCAAAGGAAGAGTTGTGGGCTCCTCCGGATAAATTTGGTAATGACTTCACTCTACTCATCAACTGTCTTTTTGGCAATAATCTTTCTTATTTGTAGTTGTTGTTGAATTGGACTTTTGCAAAGCCAGTTTCGTTAAATGCATATTGTTCAATTTGACTTGGTCACCAGAAGGTGATGATGTATGCTAATCAATCTATCATTTGGTCTTGCTACTTTTCTTTTTGTACCGTGTGGAGAATGTGATCTATTGGAACCTGTCATATAAGTGTTTTGAG